TGTACTTCCTCTGAATACCACGTGTAAATCAAGGTGTGCTCTTTGTCGTAAAAGGCGACTATGCTTGTCGTATGTGGCGACTAACGGGATCGGGTGGTCAAGCTTGCGGACTTGGTTGATGCATGTCAACGTATCACAATTGCGTGGATCGATGTTCTTGAAGTTAATCACTGGATTGTCTGGTCCAGACTCGATTACAGTAAACTACGGTTATAACGAACTCAAAGGGACCACACATTGTAGTTCGTTATAAGCATATATACACCATAAATACAGAAAATGGCCGGGACCAAAAAAACAGTTCGTTATATCCGCATGTTCGTTATAAGCGTGTTCGTTATAAACGTAGTTTACTGTATTTACAGACCGCCGTCATATAGCTGAAATAATGCTGAGTGCGGCATTAAACAACAAACTAACAAACAAACTGTGCTGTCTGTGTGTAGCAAAACCACATGTGTCTGTGTTACAGGCTTCGTCAGTCTAATTGATAGTGATGTATCTCTCTCTCTCTCTCTCTCTCTCTCTCTCTCTCTCTCTCTCTCTCTCTCAAGCAGGGGGCACGGGTGGCCCAGTCGTCTAAGGCGCCGCGATTCGCTGTGCAGAGTTGCGTCCCTTGGGCACGCCAGAAACCTATGATTGTGGGTTCGAATCCCGGTTCACCCCGATTATGTTTCTAGGTTTGTCGGGGCGGTCGGGTAGCCTGGTGGTTAAAGCGTTCGCTCGTCACGCCGAAGACCCGGGTTCGATTCCCGACATGGGTACAATGTGTGAGCCCATTTCTGGTGTCCCCCGCCGTGATATTGCTGGAATATTGCTAAAAGCGGCGTAAAACGATACTCACTCACTCACTCTAGGTTTGTCAGCACCATTCCCGTGCTCGTGGGTTTCACCGAAGTGGTAAACGTCTGAGACCTGCATCACTTCGGGCTTTCCTCCCACATTAAGCTGACACGCCGTGATATAACTGGAATACTGTTAAAAGCGGCGTTACACCCAAATCACTCACTCACTCTCTCAAGCAAACTGTTTAACTACTGACTGATGAGGAGTCAGTTGCGTGTGAAATCGTGGCTGTGTTGTTAAGTTTATCGTTTACTGCTACACAGGTACTTCAAACATCGGAGCAGACACAGTGAGTAAAACGTGCAGGGATCATCAATTGTCCTGAGCTTGGCATAATAAACATATAAATACGTTAAAATATTGACCTCTTCGCACTGAACTCCAGAGTACCAGACCCACGGCAACGTATGCAAAGAAAATTCTAATATCACATACCCCTATCTAGAGACAAATACGCCTTTCGATTCTTTCACAAATCTGGCTCCTATGCGTGTGGAGTAGACCTAATTGTGTGTAAAGATCTCTACTGTCCTCTTCTAAAGCACCTGTTATATTTGCCTCCCATGAAAAGTCATCAAATACTTTCATAATTACTCCGATGATTGAGCCACTTTGGAAACCCAAGTCGACTGGAGTGTTCCTTTGTGAGTATGCCTGTTACCCTGTTGAACGTAGAGGCCTGTACCCTGTCCCAGGGGTCAGCAATACCTGGGCGGAGGGATGGTCTGATTGCTTCTAGGGACATGCGATACCAAATGGTTGTCAGCTTTTGGCGACTTTCTGACTGAACAAACATCACCTTACTCCCGATGCGCGTCTTTATAGATGTCAGCTGAAGCCATCGAGTGGTGTCTGGATAGAACCCAGTGTGTTTACTGAAATCAATAGCAATACTGCAGTTGGGACGCTATCTGGTGTCCGGCCGTGGTTTGTTGTACGGATAAGGAGAAAGTCGGTATCTACTGGTGATAGAAATTCATTCTCAATGATTCAAGGTCAGAAAAACCATTCTGATGTTTTTTTTAAAATCTGTGTTTTAAAATCAAGTTTGTTTGTTTGTTTGTTTGTTTGTTGTTTAACGCGGCACTCAGCAATATTCCAGCCTCATCATTATTGGTCAAAACATAACATTCTTGATGTGCGGGGTATAGATTATACATACACTCTGTGTACAAACAACGGTAACCACATCAGAGTCTGCACTGACAAATGGGTTGCCCCACATTGGAGTGAGTGAGTGAGTTGGGTTCAATGGTAAGGTGAAATTGGGCTTAACGTCGTGTCCAAGATTATTACACTTATATAGCGACATGCAGGCAGGTGTGTGTGTGTGTGTGTGTGTGTGTGTGTGTGGCTGCTTGTACTAGTCCTGACTGATGCCGATTTATAGTGCTAGATCACTGAGATGCCATGCCGCAGTTTAACATGAAAACCCCACTCAGACACATGTCGACCAGTCCTTGTTTTAGGGTAACAACAAGTACCATCTCTTAACTTCTTTTGGTATGACGCGGCCGGGGATCGAACCCAGACCTTCCGCTCTCCGGGCAGGCACTCTACCACTAGATCACGGAGGCGTTCTTCTGACTTGTTTTTAATGCCTTTGAACAATATTCCAGTTACATGTATATCATGGTGTGTAGGAGGAAAGCCGAAAGTGATTTAAACCTTTACCAATTTGGTGAAACCCGCGTATGGATATGGCGCTGACAAACGTACATAATCGGGGATCCTACCCACGATCGTAGGCTTCTGGCTTGCCCACGGGACACAACGTGCACAACGTGGCACAGCGCACAGGGGACCTGTGAAGATTCCGGGGTAGAATAGGTCTTCAGCAACCCATACTTGGCGTAAAAGGCGACTATGCTTGTCGTAAAAGGCGACTAACGGGATCGGGTGGTCAGGCTCGCTGACTTGGTTGATACATGTCATCGATCCTAATTGCGTGGATCGATGCTCATGATGTCAATCAGTGAATTGTCTGGTCCAGACTCGATTATTTTACAGACCGCCGTCATATTGCTGGAATAGTGCTGAGTGCAGCGTTAAACAACAAACAAAACAGCACAGGTTCTGTTGCTTGCCTCCTGGGTGTTTCTAAGGCTTCGGTCCTGCCCAACACTGAAGCACATGTTACATGTGGTGTCTCCTTGGGCACGTGACTTCGTTCGAAATCTGCATCTATTCACCCAACAGTGAATGGGTACCCGGCAGGATAAGATGGCAATGTGGCTGTTTACCTTCTAGCCAATCACAGGCAGCTTGGGTTGGACACTCCCCAGGGACTGAGTGCTCACTGATCCATAAGCAGTAATAATGTAGTGCTTGGGGCTTACTTTAGGGTGTGCATATGACACATCATAAATATGAGTGAGTGAGTATGATTTTACACCGCCTTAAGCAATATCGCAGCAATATCACGGCAGAGGACACCAGAAATGGGCTTCACACATTGTACCAATGTTGGAATCGAACCCAGGTCTTCGGCGTGACGAGCAAACGCTTTAACCACTAGGCTACCCGACCGCCCCTCATAAATATGAACAGTAGTAGTAGTAGTAGTAGTAGTAGTAGTAGTAGCAGTTGTAGTAACTCTGCACAGCGAACTGGGCCACCCTCCTGATTCAAACCCAAGATCATAGGTTTCTGGGTGCCTAAAGGGAGGCAACTCTGCACATCACCTTGCAGTACATTAGAGGACTGGGCCACCAGTGTCCCTTCCTTACCAAGCAGCACTGATGGAAAGAAATAACAAATGCAATGTGTAGTATTAAGAATTTACTTCATGATTTGAGATAGTTTAGAGACAATGGATTTGGACAAAGACAGGTTGAACACTTTTCCAATGACATGTTTGTCTATTTGAGGCATTATACAGTTCAAAATATTTCCGTGGAGAAAAATCAAGATCCAATCCCACGGCACAATAGACAGGTTTACATACAAATAGGAATGAACAGAATCTCATAAATGTAACAACTGATATTTTTTTTAAAAGAAAATATTCAGGAATAAAAAACAAAAATATTTTGGAATGTAATTCAAATACAATAAAATCTATCTGCATGACCATTTGTCAATGACAGTTTGGTTAATTTGCGTTCTACCTCAATTGATTTATCTGGACATTTCATGAATGTTTGGTGATGGCATACAACACTAGAGCACATCTCAGGGTCAGAACCATGTGAAGCTTACAGTGTCAAACAGAAACAGCAAAAGATCTACAACATATGTTGGAACAAAATAATTGTCCATTATCACACAAACCTGGCCTCAGGCACTTGATGCAAAACCCTAACTATAAAGGCTGGGGGGGGGGAATCAAAAACTTTTATATGACCTAAGTTTTAAATGGTGGACACTAAACAGAAATATTATTTTGTAGAACAGTATGGTCATTAGGAGTAAGTTCACAGCTCTTACATGTTAAAACAAAAATCATTCCGAAGATCGCGTTATCCCATTTCATCATTACAGCATTATCTATTCAGTATTTCAGCATCAGGAGCCTGTGTCACCAAGTCAGGTTTTGGTATATTCCTTGCTTGACATGGTATACGGATCTATACTGTCTTTACAGTAAATATAGACATTGTTATCCATGACCTACTTTGGAGAACCAGTTGCCATGCCTGCAAACACTGAAGCTGCTCCATATCAATAACTGTCTCTCCCCACCTCGTGATGGTCACTGGTTAACACTATAGCCAATGGTATGAACAATACTGAATCTAGACTAGTTAACCAACAAATAAATAACATATGGTCACTCAGCAGAATGATATACATAAATTAAGTTAATCTAACACACACAACTACACCTCTACATAAGATGAAGAATGGTATTAAAAAGCAGAAAACAGTGATTAAATAATTCTATTTTGGTACTACGTTGGGTTTTGCACTTGACCATCATTTCAACACTCAGGTGGTATTTTGGCTTAGTTCCCTAATGATAATTGCATTATCAACATCATCGTATTATATACTATACTGGACTATGTGTTATGACAATGCACAGGAGTCCGTATCTAAAAATAGACGCCCTCATGCATATTCATGACCATCTCCTTCGGGCTCGCGTGTGGAGATGGTCATGAATATGCATGAGGGCGTCTATTTTTAGATACGGACTCCTGTGGACAATGTTATCGCACAGCCAGTTACTACGGTGTTGTCACAGGAATGTTGCAGACTGTATTGATGTGGTTGGAGAGCAGGATGGCAGGCTTGCACATACAAAGGAGCGGAGACTGCACAATTTATCCTCCCAAAACAATAATAAAATAAACAGAAATACATTAAGTGAAAAAAAACCTAACAAATGACAACTAACGAATGCACTATTAAAATAGATGTCACCAGGACTTTCTGAAAGTATTACAGTTGCTATGAAAATTTAATCATATACATAATTTCTGCACGATGTTTTGAACTTCTGTATTCTTTCAGACTACAACCTGTACCTAAATATATTCTTGATAATATACTACCTGTACACAAATATTGTATTGAAGCAATAACAAAGTTGAAAACCGAAGTCAACTCAATCTTCATTATTTCGGGTAGTTGTGACTATATAGTCTGACAGCTTCCTAACTTCCTCCTGTATAGGACAATGTATGAGATCCCACAGGGACCAATACGACATCTCTCAGCATCAAGGCGAGTGTAGCTTCCTAACTTCCTCCTGTATAGGACAATGTATGAGATCCCACAGTGACCAATACGACATCTCTCAGCATCAAGGCGAGGGTCTGGTGAAAGGGAGCTAACTGTGCACCTTTATCGTCCAACTCTGCCTCCTGGTCGTACCAAAAATCACCTGAACAATTCACCAATACACTGCTGCCTCGCCTTGCCGATGAATGACCTAGAGTCAGGACAAACCTATCTGTCTTGTCCGCGTCATACTTACATGCAAGAGAATCATCAAGTTTCAGAATCATATCAAACTGTCACTGCACACTTTTGTAAGGAAACCATTCTGTACATGATCCTGACACTTGCGTCCTACACTCGATGTTAACATGGGAATCACATTATCCCACAGGACAAATTCTCACCTGTGCTTTATAATAGGATAATACACATATCGAACAAAAAATGTTAGGGATCATGAATATATTGGGGAATATATTTATTAAAATACTAGCATGTGTTCAGTCTTCATTACAAAAATACAGTGAACTATGTCTATCACGAACACGCTTGAAATGAACTGACAGATATAACAAACTGGTTTTTGGTCCAAGCCAATTGCTGTATATTTTATCATATAAAACAGTCAAAACGGTTTTAACAAACAAAAATTAGTGGTCTCTTTGAGTTCGTTATAACCGTATTTTACTTTTATCTGAAAAAAATATTTCTTATCCCTAACTTTTTTTGTTCAGGATAAATGAGCCCACACAGGGCACCTGTTGACCTTTCTAACACAGGATCTGTCAAGGCTCTGTACAGAGTTGTCGTATATAAGATACAGGTATAAACATGTGTGGACAGTTACAGGAAATACTTTCACATCAATGTAGTAAGCATTAAGTATCATTTCGTTATTACACATTGACATCAGTCAATATTAATACTGCCTTCTCGTAATATCTTTGGTGTGAATACTTCAGAAAGGGTTTTCAATACTAAGTGGGAATAACGGAGCAACGCTTATTTTAGAAGTGTTACCATATGTGTAACAGCTAAAATACTGTCTGACCATTGATGGCAATTAACAAGTGGTTTTAGTTAGTGGTATTATTGTTGACAAAACATGCAATAGATTAATTATGATGTCATTTTGCCCTAAATCACAGATTTAATATCACATTCACATTTGTTATAATCACTACATCAACAACATAATGCTTAAATACACTTCTCAACATTTGATAAGGATATTTATATTATTTCCTTGATTCAGCCCACTTATATCATGAATCATAACATGTCTTGTCAGTTTGTTTGTTGTTTGATGCTGCACTCAGCAATATTCCAGCTATATGACAGCGGTCTGTTAATAATGGAGTCTGGACCAGACAATCCAGTGATTGACATCATGAGCTTCGATCTGCACAAGTGGGACTTGATAACACAACATGTAGATGCAGCAGTATCATGCATCTCAGTATCCTTATCAAAAGTTCAGTAGTATAGTTTGAATAATACTTCAAGATGGCATATCAAATATTACTGATTGCATAAGTTTGGACTGATTTGTCAACATCAACTCAATCAGTGCCCAAAACAGCGAACATTTGTATTAGAGTGAGTGAGTATGGTTTTACGCCGCTTTTAGCAATATTCCAGCAATATCACGGCGGGGGACACCAGAAATGGGCTTCACACATTGTACCCATGTCGGGAATCGAACCCGGGTCTTCGGCGTGTCGATCGAACGCTCTAACCACTAGGCTACCCGACCGCCCCCATTTGTATTAGAGATCTGCCAGTCTGATAATCATGATTTTTAGGGCCATGCATATGATTGAGAGAAACTCCGTAATCAGTTCCTCTCAAGGTATCCCTTACATAAGCACAGGACACAGTTCAAATCCCTTTCAATGGTTGATTTACACACGGCCTAATTGGCACCAAACTATCTGAGCATGTGAAAAACATAATTATTTTTTTTATTATGGATTATCATAGATAATGGTCAGAGATATTGACAATGGATCGGTAGGTCGAAAGAAAATAAAAAATATAATGGATTGTACAGGACCTTTTCAATCATCTAAAAGTTTGGTTTGGATCTGTGAGCTGATGAAAAAATAAGACAATTTAACGTTTGAGAAAAATCTGTTTCAGTCATGGGTTATTTTTATTGTCAAAGCAAATTTTACCATGAACGGTATAAAAAACCACGTCATTCTGATATTTTCTTTTCAATTTTCTTTTTTTAAGGTCACTGGATTCATAAACACAGCAAAAAATATTTATGGCCTAAGGTCCTTTGGTCTACAAGAATGTGGTACAGGCCTCCATCCAACAGTTTGAGGTGTAAGTTCATTTTATGGTTATTTTTCATAATTGTTTATCAAGCTGAAATCTTCACTGAGTCAATGGAGTTTTGGTCACAGATATTGACAAACTGATGATAAAATTGAAATAATTATGACAGTACATAGTGGCAATATTTCTCCGACTTGTAGTCAGCTCACATGATGAAATATAGTCCTTGACTCCTTGTATAGTTGGTGGAATGTTTGGCACCGATTCACTGGAAGGTAGGTTCGATAACTGATGTAATACATAAATACATATCCTTGAGACAGAACACAGATATGTGATTGTGACTGAACTGATTGATATCATTATGAATTATCTTCTGGTCAAGTTCATTATGTTCTTGGTTTACTGAACACTTTACTGCAAGTTGGTAAAAGCTGATCCTCCCCCTTACAAATGAAACAGATCTTGTCTTTAATGGAAGTAATTTATTACTTCAAATCCTCCAGTTCTTATTAACTAAATTTTGCTTGAACTTTAATTTGAAATATTTGTACACAAAAACAATTCTCATAGGCTTAATAAGTTTTAAAATATTTCCTGAATTATGTTATTGATTTCTATATTCATATTTTAGCTTTAGTAATTTCATTTGTTCCTATTCTTGTCATTAAGTTGCCTGGTCTTCTTGATATCCTCTGATCCATTAAGATTCTGTTATCATTATCTTAAATTACGAAAAAAAGCCTGGCAAAGAGAAAGTTTAGTAGTACTTTAAGTAACAAATAAAACTTGAATGCAAACAGCAGTTGCCACAACTGTTCAAATTGCTGTGAAATGATGGTTCAATTGGTCACAGCACTAGTAATGGGCGACCTGCGTGAAACTAACACTCGGCCAATGAACAATAACTTGAGCCGGAACACCACCAATGTAACACCACTAAACACACAGGTGCGCCTCAACTCCGATGTAGCCCCAAGGTCAGTTGTATCCTGTTTGACTAAGAAAGATTTTACGCCGCTTTTAGCAAAATTCCAGCAATATCACCGGAAATGGGTTTCACATATTGTACCCATGTGGGGAATCGAACCCAGCAAACACTTTAACCACTAGGCTAGCCCACCATGGGGCACTGCATTGTAAAGCCATGATTAATGGAATCCTACACAGCTGACACAGCAAATGTGTTTGTGAGACTGTGAGTGAGTGGGGTTTAACGCCACTTTGAACAGTGTTCCAGTTATATGACGGCGTGTCAGCTTAATGTGGTAGGAAAATCCGAAGTGATGCAGGTCTCAGACGTTTATCACTTTGGAGAAACCCACGAGCACGGGTATGGTGCTGACAAACATAAAAATCAATGCAAACTGGGATTCAAACCCATGAACATATCCTGGTACTTTTCTGGCATGCCCTAGGGACACAACTCTGCACAGCGAATTGCAATGCCTTAGATGACTGGACCACCCGTGCCCCCTTTGTGAGACATATCATTAAAATCCATCACTGAAACCAGTCAAAAACTTTCAGTCTATAATTGAAGCTTTATAATTAAATATAATTTCATCTCCATTTTGAATTTTTAATGAAAAATTTAATAATTTAATGCCAAAAACTGATTGAATATGTTATGAAAGAAAACAGCTTGGCCATTCTGTCAATGATATAATTCAGGATATACAAGAGACGCTTGAGCTTACAACTGAGAGGCCTGGGAATAACATACTAATTGTGACACTGAAAATCTGCCAAATTCTAAGTCTCAGATCTCTAAATTCATAAAAAACAAAACAAATACACAACAGATCAAACACTTATTGCAAAATATTACCATGAATTTCTCAATCAAACAGTATGCAATAAAACAAAAAGTACATTTCATTATGATTCAACAATTTTTAGTTATGCTGTAAAATTAAATGCTGAAAATACAAAAGCTTATCTGCTGCCACACTATAGGCACTGAACACTGGTGTAATAAGTTAAACGCACTCCCATACATTATGCATATTCAAATACTATCTTCAAGCCATTTATAGAATTGCAAAACATCTAAATCTAGTTTTGTCTGTAACGACCGTCGGAGGAGTAAAAAACTGTAATACTAGTTGTTAGGAAAGTGGGATGAAAACAAGAGGAAATTATTGCAAAACTGAGTTTGACATCCCCAAAATATGAGCAATATTAAAACTATAAACCATGTATGTAGACACATGTAATGCTGATGAAATGCTTTGGCCTTATCCTAAACTAAACTGGTTCACATTTCAAACTCTGGTATAAAACTACATCTAATTCTGGAAGCAGAACAAATAATGCTAAAACTGCATCAAATATGATTCTAGTAACGCCTAAACTCATAGTTCAAACAAACAAATCACACAAAATCAACTGTTTTAGGATATTTTGATAAAGCTAATTAAAACATCTAGGTAGGCCTACATATCGAATGTGCAAATCATATCTCAAAGGAGAAACTATGCAATTATTGCATACCACAGCAAAACTTGGGATTAGTCAGCCAATTTGAAATTTGAAGGGATAACTTTATAGCACTAAATCCCAGGAAGGTATGAAAAGGTTTCAGACTGTCTAATCTAGTCAGTAGTATCCATGACAAAAGGAAGAAACCATGAACCGTTGAGGGTGTTGCTCCATGTGAGGAGGAGCAAGGCAACAGTAGAGGGGAATAAGTCGTACGACTCAAGGCACTTCGACAACCAAGTCTACACTTCAGATCATTTCTCTAGCATGGACAAATCCTGATGATCTCAACATCATCAATATATTTGTAACGAATACAAAAATATTTGTAAAAATGACAATTTCATTAAATATGAAATTATATAATAAATATTTACAGTGATAAAATCACAATCTGTGGAATGATGTCTGTGTGATGATAATAACCAAATAAATATATATTCCTAGGGAAATTATCAAATCTATAAATTAACAATTTAATCACTGATTATCTCTAATTGGACGAATTTAAGGCATATTCACATGAGACATGGACCATGATAACACAATATACACTGCAATAGTCCAGTGGTAAACAAGGAATGTTTCACAAGTTTATACAAATATATACATACGTGACAATTCCACTTAAGTAGGATACTGTCCTGAATAGCAAACAGATATAAAAGTAACAAACTGTATCAACAGCAGTATTACATTGTAACCAACCTTGTAATACTGCACACACAACCATGACATACAGATTAATTGTAACCATATCATAATCATATATAATGCTGGTTTTAATAATTTAGTTGTTACTCCAAGACACAAGCCTCCCAAACACATACAGTTGAATTGAACTTGTACAAGCAAACAATCTATGTATGTAAAAAGCATACAACTAATAACAATATTTGCATATTGCAAGATATACATATCCTGGCTTTGGCTTAAGATTTTCTGACAGTTTTTCTACTGTTAAAGGGGTCTGTCAGGAGCATGGAAGTTTGTAATGTTTCAAGATGGCACCCTTTAAGCTATCACTATTTACACTGGTAACAATGTCAAGGTCAACCCTTGATAACTCCAACTTCAGCAACATTTAATTATGCCATGAAAAATACTTATATATGCAATAGGGGTAAATTAAGCTTTAACATTTAACTCAGTCAGCTGATTTCTAGGGGTCGTGACCTCTAGGATATCACCTCTTCAGCATAACTACCAAGAGTCACAAAGAGGCTTCAACCAATTAAAGATCAAGGTCATAGAAAGATATATAGCGATCAGCTTAGTCTGTTCCCGCGTCATTTCAGGAATAAAAATTGTATTATTGTATAATACCCATATTTATTCCTAACTTTAGATAGGGAGACACACGAGGGTAAATATCTCATCACATGTCACACTTACAATGATGGATGTTTAAGTCGTAATGTCTCTCAATGAAGTAACTTCAGAAAGTTAATAGACACAGCATATGAATACTGAGTTTGTGTGAAACACACCATTTTTCAAATAGTCATAAGGAGCTGCAGCCATGTTGGTCTACAGAATCACACACACTTCGGAAAAATACTCTCTCAACTAATACAGCACATTGGTCATTAAGTCATCAGAATATTGGTCTATTGAGAAAGCAGACATTGAATCCCAGGTGGAGGACCTCATTTGCATATTTATTGGATCATGATACCATCCATTATATGATAAATTGTGATATCGGCCTCACAACGAGGCTTCAACCAATTTGAGTTTATTTCAGCCGTGGCTCAAGACATCACACAGTGCTTTGACACAAGAACACTGCTCCCTCTCCAATTGTACATGCAGGAGTGTTTTCATTTTCGTCACAGACCTATCATTTGAAGCCCAGCATCTTGGCTGCCGAATCAGCGGAGTCAAGCATGGTGTTGATGGCTGATTCATCCACCCCGAGGAGGTTGTGCAGAATGTCGTCATCATCGCTGTCATGGTCGTCTGTTCCGCCGTTCATTTGGGGCACCATGCTGGCAGCAGTCCTCTCCGGTACAAACACCTGCAGCAAGAAACAGCGTCAACATTGATAGGCAAAGAAGTGACACTGAAAGGATTCTCACACATGGCATACTTGACATCAGGACCTACTCCATAACTGTAGTCCATGACAAACAAGAATTATCTCCCTTCATCTTGTCAGTATGCATATTTTGTACTTATATATTCATTGTAATTATTGATGCTATTGCTATGCACAGGACACAGAATGACACTTCCAAACGGAAGTGTATGCAATAAAACTTGTGAATACTGAAACATTTCATTTTTATAATTTTGTTTGTAATCTTGAATTGTTAATAATGGCATCAGTGTCAGTAATGTTCGAATTGCATGTAAGGTCTTATGGTGAATTAAAATGTTTTAAAACTCCATTCACAGAAAAACAAAGTTATCATTGCTTATCTTGCCAAGTTTTTATTAAAAGAATAGCAGACCTTCCTGCATCATCTTAATCACGGAAACTGTCACCAATCTTTACTTATTTATATATATATATACGTACAGGGCTATCTCTCCGTGTGTTTGTTGTCAGATGGTAACGAAGAGCACTTCTCCCACGACCAGGGCCTGCAAAATGATGGTTTATATTACTTCCAGGAATTATCTCGGCCTGCCAAAGAGGCCGATATAAGGCCCTTGGTCAGAAAATTTCGGGGGACGATGACAAGGTGGGGCACATTGACACACTGGACTCAATAGTTAGCTCACATGACAAACATGTTTTTGTTTGTTGTTTAACGCTGTACTCACAGCCATAATCCAGGTACATGACAGCCTGCAAATAATCTAATCTGGACCAGACAAACCATACAATAAGCATCTCAGAGGGGACATGACACCACGTCACAGTGTTTGACCACCCAATATATGAAGTCTCCTCTGACGACCAGCACCAGTTGCTGAGGGTCAGATCTAACCAGGAATCCCCACAGGGTGACCGATTCCATGACAGAATAGGTCCAAGTTCCTCGACGAACACGAGGAATTTGTCCCCTCTTCCTGGTGTGAGTGAGTGAGTATGGTTTTACACCGCTTTTAGCAATATTCCAGCAATATCATGGCGGGGGACACCAGAAATGGGCTTTACATATTGTACCCATGTTGGGAATTGAACCCAGGTCTTTGGTGTGACGAGCGAACGCTTTAACCACTAGGCTCCCCGTTTCATCTACAGAAACACTGACCTGGCAGAACGTTTTCCTCATTGTGTACACTGTCCTCGTCATCACTGAATGCTGGGGAGAGCGAGCGGGAGCGAGAGAGGGAGCCTGGCAGGTGCTTCTTGCGGTGTCGCATCATGCTGTGCTTCAGGGTGAACCTCTTCTGACACACGTCACACTCAAAGGGGCGCTCTCCTACAGCAGGGCAATAGTAATGTCACAGGATGGTATACAAGAATATATCACATGGTATATATTCAAACTAATCTGTACAACAAGTACTTATAAGGGAGATAACTCCTCATTCCTAAATCAATGTAGGCAGTACTTGCTACAAAAGATAAACGGCACAAACCATTAAAAGTTTACAAAATCACCTTGCATAAACTCACCTGCTGTAGCAATTTTAGAAATTTTAGAAATGTGTGCAAGTGGCAATTTACCTATGGTTATTTATGTCATGATTGAGGTACAACTGTTAACATTTCATGACCAGGTGATATTAACATGATATGGCTTGACAAATGCATACACGTTAATGTATTATATCGACAGGACACTTGAGCCGGCACATATTCATCTGTTACAGACTCAGACTTCTACAGACTCCCACGACAGCTAATGTCGTCCAAAGCTGAAGGTATTTCAAAGTTTGAAAGGACTCACCGGTATGAGAGCGCATGTGTCGCCGGAGATCCTGCAGTGACCAGAAGCGTTTAGGACACAGTGAGCAGTAGACCTTCCTCTGGTTGTAATCTGATGTGACAGACTCAATGGGCTCCTCGCCACCATCTTCCTCCTCATTCTCTTCCGTCAGAATCCCATTCCCAGCTCGGCAGTGACGCTCCACCACCACATCCATCTTGGAGGCAAAGCAGTCGATGTCGTCCACGCTATTCTTCTCCCTGAGGACTGTCCAGTCCCGGGTGTGGTGTTTCTCCTGGTGCACTAGGCACTCCTTCCTGTGGTCGAAAGAGGCGTCGCAGAGATAGCACTTGAAGGGCAGGTCGATATTATGTTCCTTAAGATGGCGAACCAGCATCTTACGCGATGGGAAGGACTTCCCACATTTCCAGCAATGTTTGATTTTGTCGACATTGTAATTGTCTCGCTCCGGGTTTGTTTGTCGCTCACCAGATCCCGCAGAGACATCCTCACCATCTTCGTCCTCACCCTGACCTTGACCTTCCAGTTCTGCCGGAATGAGTGGCTGGATGAATGAACTGTAGTCGGACATGTCAGCTTGTGAGTGATCAAGATCTGAGCCGCTATCACCAGGACTGGCACCTGGCATTGCATCATGGGACTTGCTAGAGATCTGAAAAATAATTTTGACAATGTTTGATGAATTCTACCATTTCAATGTTATAAAGACAATATTGCCTTTTGGATGTATGTGTTGATAACGTTTCCACTGATGTCAAGCATGAACCATGTTCAATGGACCACAATAACTGATTTCAGTTTTCTTTCTATCAAAACAAATTAAATAAAAGATGAATATCATTTTCATCCAGGTGTAGGTGATGCAGTCAAACGTGAAATCTGCTGCATCTGAACAGGATCCTCACCATATTTGATTCTTCATCAGAAAAGCTATCATCGTTGTCGATCGTGTTGCTTGCTTCACCCTCCATGCCCTCGATACAGTCTCCATCATGGACTGGCTCTGGCTTCACCCCATTATGTCTCTCCTGGTAGTGCTTCAACAAGTTGCCTGCAACAAGACTCTCAGTTAGGTGTCTAGTTAAAACCCTTCCATCATTCAGTGTCACCTGAAATGCAGCTTTAAGAGCTCTATGACAAGATACAGGCCCTCTTGCTCTGATGAAACTAAACTAAAAAGTAATGCCACAGGCACTGTAGTTCACCTGGTTTTGTACAGGTAATTACAACCAATTTCATAACTGATAAACCATCTGCTGCAAGGGTGGATCCAGCATTTTCAAAAAGGAGAGGTTTAAAATGTCAAAATCCTCTCTCGGATAATCTTACTGACTAGAACATACCTTTGGTTTTCAAAAGGGGGGAGGGATCCGGAATCTATCCTGGAATCCCCACAGGGGTCAAACAATAAAGAGTGAGTGAGTGAGTGAGTGAGTTTGGTTTTACGCCGCTTTTAGCAATATTCCAGCAATATCAAATCGGGGGACACCAGAAATGGGCTTCACACATTGTAACCATGTGAAGAATCCAATTCGTTGTGGCCATAAAACTCTTCATGCCCTGCCCACGTATAAATGCCAATCCAACTGTTCGCTACTTGTTGACCTACTTTCAGTGGAGAAGGAGCTGAAGACACAGAGATGACACTTGTAGGGTCGGTCCATGGTCTGTCGCGAGGCTGGGTCCAACATGTTCACGCCATGTTTGCGGATCAGGTGTCGTTCTCGGTTGGACTTGGTGGAGAAGGTCACTGGACATCGTGGACACTTGAATGGTTTCTGACCTGGAGGATGAACATAATCAGTTAGATACCAAGGATGTGTCACAGGTGTGATGTGTGTGTCTGTGCATGTGCCTGTGTGCACGTGTGCATGTGAACAGGTGCTTGTTACAAGGATTCCTCACCTGTGTGTGTGAGCAGGTGCCTGTTCAGGGAGCTGACCCAGGGGAACGACCGGGGGCAGTAAGGACAGCCAAGCTTGTGGGGGGAGTCTGCATAGGAATTACGTTTCTTCTTCACCGGGGTTTCGGGGAACATTCCATTGCTTAGATCATGGTCCTCCTGGAAAACAGTTAAACAATGTTCTTAAAAACACAGATAACCCTTTCCAAAAATATACCCGCAAACACTTTGGGTGACATGACATTTTATAATTTGAAAAACAGACTAAAGAATACATTTTACAACCAATGGAGTCTGTTTTTGTATTAAATAGGAAACATCAATATCAGAAACTAACCAAACAGCAATTTATGAAGTCATGCAGATGTGACTTCAGTGAGTGAGTGAATTAGTATGGTTTTACACCGCTTTCAGGAATATTCCAGCAATAACCATTTAACCACTAGGCTACCCCACTGCCCGATATGACTTAAGCCTCAACTTACATCTATATCCATGATATGCTTGCTGGAATCCATTTCTCCCTGGTCATCAATGAACCCTGACTCCTCCCCATTTTCGTCATCGTCTTCCTCGTCACCCATATCCTCATCCAAATCTCCGTCTTCCTCCTCGTCCTCCTGCTGCTGCCATTCCTGGGCGTTGCTCTTGACATCCTCCCTGTAAGACTGAGCCAGGAGGTGTACATCCGACTCAGCTGAGCTCTTGTCTGGGGAACCTCTGTTGGGTTCGGAGGATGGAGAATCACAAGGGGAGGTGTGGTTGCGGATTACAGAGTTTATTAACTGCTTCCTGTAGGCTGACATCTTGTCCTCCTCATCAGCTTCACAGCCACTTCCAAGAAACATGTTGAACTTGTAGGATCCTGTGTTGTTAAGGATCTTGTGGACAGATGCAAGGTCAGACACAGAATCCCCACCTAGAAACATGACAAGAATCCATATAGTAGAGGCTCACTAGAGGTAATCAAGCAAACACTGCATCCAACAACATTCCAGCTGTATCACAGCAACCTGTAAACAATTGAGTCTGGTCAAGAAAGGCAGTGGTTGATAGCATGAGCAACCATCAATGCAAATGGGGAACAATGACTTGCAATCAGCCAGGTCAAACATCAGATCCTACATACAACCAGGCTATTGCTGTTGAATGCCAATGGGAGAAATTATTATGAGAATCTTGTTTGTTCGCTGGTTTGTTGAGTCCAGACTCAATTATTTACAGACGGCTTTCATATAGCTGGAATATTGATGAGTGCGGCATAAAACAACCAACAAACAATAGCAGGACATTAAGACAAGAGAAACTTACAGACCTTAAACTTTGAGTAATCATAGAGTGTGGCATTAAACCAATGAACAAACAAACAAACAAAGAGACAGACAGACAGACAGACAGACAGACAGACAAACAAGCTTCTCTGCTGTACCTGAGTTGGGAGAGTGCATCCTGTACTTGGCCATAAAAGCCAACTTCTTGGCCTCCCTGCTGCGTTTCTCCAGGATGGACAGTGGAGACACCTCCCAGCTCTGCTTGTCATTGTTATTGTTGTCACTGACAAGCACAAGGTCATCCTCGTCCAACTCATCCCTCTGACAGTGATCGGAAGCTGGTGGGGAAAACTGCAGGAACCTGTTGGGAAGCTCGCCACTTTGCAAGGCTGATTTTAAGTGCTGGAAATAGAATTATTATGGAGTGTCATGATGTGACAACCTTTATCATACCGCCATGTCAGAATGGTTAGACCTGATTGGTCCATGTGATTGATAAAATACTATTTATCCCGCCTTGGAGGGAAACAAATTTCTCAGCGGGTGAATAAATCTCTTATACCCTGCTACAACTCACAGTGTGTACACATGTAAGCAGTGTTCTACAAGGCACAAAAGCTCTGGCCTTTTTGGAGCAAGTTGTGGATGACTGAAACATGAGACCTACTCTAGATGCATTCGGTGAAGGTGACCTCTTCTTGACGGACAGATCCATGGGCTGGTCGCTGCGGCTGAGCCCCGGGGTGGAGGTGAAGGGTGAGTTCATCAGACTAAAGTCGAGAGGCTGGGTGCAGGTGAGGTGTGGCTCCAGTTTCACTAGCATGGAGGAGTGGGGGAGGGTCGGCTCCACCTTGTGGGCAGCAGGGGGACTAGGGGACACCTGCCACGAACAGACACTGATCAGTAACATAACTAGCTTAACCCAAACAAATATAATCTTGAAAAGCTTGAATAATATTACACTTGAACAAGGGAGATAGTTCTAGGGATATACAATTCATTGTGTGTCATCCTGGCATCATTGACAAATAATAGCCACAAGCTTGTCTTGTGAAACATTGTAAGCAAACACAAGTCAATATATCGTTTAGGCAAGGCATGTCTTTCTTTTACTCCATGTTTTCAAGTATGGTCAACAGATATTTTGTGGGGGCAGCAGCATATAATGTTTAATGTTAATAGATTTGTCAGTACGAATGTCCTACATTATTTTCTTGCACCATTCCCAGCCAAAACATGGCACCTGACAATGTAGGCATCAAATCCTTGGGTCCTTGCATAAACATGCTCTAACCACTACCTCCAAACAGCCATCATGTTCCTTACCTGGAAATTACCACTACTGGAGAGACTAGCTGGACTGGCGGACTCCTGACTGTCGCTGGTGACTCTGTCCATCTCCTCCATCATGGAAGGCTCATTGACGTGGATCATCCCCTCAATCTGGTGCTGGCCCACCTCCAGGTGCTGCTTCTGGATGTGTCGGACACAGTTGGCCTTGGTGGAGAAGCCCACGTCACAGCGCTGGCAGAGGAAGGGCTTCTGGCGGCAGCTGCTGTGAGATCGGAGATGGTGCTTGAGGGCGCGGAAGAACTTGAAGTCAATGCCGCAGTACTTGCAGACAGTGTCGGGGGAGTGGAAGGCGTCCATGCTTGTGGCTGTGTCCATCACATACTTGTTGTAGCCAATCGACTGCTCAATATCCTCCTTCATTAGCTTGCCATGCTTCTTTCTGTCAGGAGAGTGAGTGAGTGAGTGAGTGAGTGAGTGAGTGAGTGAGTGAGTGAGTGAGTGAGTATGGTCTTACACCACTTTTAGCATTAGTTATTATTTCTTAATTCTAGATAGACAGACATTCAGATGTGTCGGGTTAGGGGATGCACAAATGAATATATATTTTATATTTTATATTTAATATTTTATAATATATATTATATTTTTTATAATAACAGCTTAGGTTGCAGCTATTTCACAGAGCCTAAAAGAATGCAAGAAAATTTATCTTTTTCACTGGAATTTGGTCTCTCACCTGACATGCCTCTCACAGTTGGCTTTTGTGGTGAAGGCAAAGTCACAAATGAGGCACTGGAAAGGTCGCTCTCCGTTGTGTGTGCGCAGGTGTCGGATGAGGGTGCTCTTGTCAGCGCTGGAGTAGCTGCAGAGGTTGCATTTATAGGGCGTCAGACCCAGGTGTGTGCGTGTATGTCCTGGAGGAGGAGGAGAATTCTTCCATTAGTTGCCATTGACACAGCCCATCAATCCTCACCTTATTCCTCATTATGATCAACACTACTCTCCACACATTAAAGCCTCACTCTTTTAACAAAACATTAATTCTGAATATTTGGATATTTAGTTATGATCTGTACTGACTACACTGTAAGTTCAGTAATCTGTATCCGCGTGTTGACATTGACAGTGATTATCTTATTTCATCTCAAAATATAGACATGATATAAGAAACTGACAGCTGACGTTTCTGAGTACTCCGAGTCATTTATCAAAAGAACCACATAAACATCTAACTCCAGTCGAGAACAAGTCCTACATCTACACATGCATCTACTCCTTTGTTGACATTGTGCAACATGTACGTTTTCAACTGGAAGTTTCGAAAAAGATAGAAACTTGAAATTATTATGAGTGAGTTTTTGCTCTGTGTTGGGCAATATTCCAGCGACAGTGTGGCACACTGAAAATATCATTGTATCCTTGGCCCTGTTCCACAAAGCGATCATAGCACTACAACTGTCGTAAGTCTATGTTAAAGTACGGGAGATACGATCGTCTTAGCACTGAGATCGCTTCGTGAAATGGGACCCTGGGTCTTGTAATGAGCCAAAGCTTGTACCACCAGACACCGCCAATCTACTCTGTGATACATCGAACAGCCACAAGCTAACCATACAATGCATAATGAAAATATACATAATAAATAAGGTACGATCTATGTAGCAAATGTTTCTTTAGGACTAGCAATAGGTATTCATTTCAAGACCGATATACATGCTATACAGCAGATGTAAAATACAATACACAAACCAAAATGAAATAAAGATAATAAAAAAAAATGAATATTGTCTGAGGAATATCCATCCTTGGTATCTCCAGGGATCACATGTTGATAGCCTACACTAACCCTCGGATCCAAAGTTGTGGTTCTTGTGATCTCACATTACCAACCCCTTACATTAACATTTTACTGACCAATCAAACATTGAGATAAGGAAAAAGGAAATTGGTAAGGGACATAGACATGAAGACAGCCTTTCCATCAAAAAGTTTTTTCAGGTTATTTTTTGTTGTTGAGAATGTTGAATTTCTTGCAAACTCTATAGTAATAAATGGGACTTGATGACATGTTGTTGATTCTGATTGGACTGTTTGACTGAGTAGCACAGCAAATCAAATTGGCTAATGAAAATCAAGGGCGGGTAATTTGAGATTGTGAGAACAAAAGGAATGGATCCCAGGGGTAGCGTAGGTTTACTGAAATGTGAGCCCTGGAGATGAAGAGGATGAAGACTATACCCGTGCTGTAGAGAATGATGCACAACATGCACACTTACACAGAAGAAACATGACCAGGATGCAGACACAAAACACACTTACCTGACTATCTCCTTCCGCAAATTTAAGATTGAATAAAAAAATTTACCACTCTTGATAGCACATGTAAAGTTCAACATAGGTTCCAAATGTAACAATTACTACGAGTGTTTGTAGGTGCAATGATTCCACGGGAAGGTTTTTAAATGGCATTGAGAGGTTGATATGGACTTGACGATAAAATAGTATGGATGATCAACTCCTTGATTTCAGATGTAGTGAGTGAGTTTTGGTTTAATGCTGTTATGAACAGTATTTCAGTTACATATCACGACGTGTCAGCTTAATGCGGGAGGAAAGCCATAAGTGATGCAGGTCTCAGACGTTTACAAATTTGGTGAAACCCACGAGCACAGGTATGGTGCTGACAAACCTTGAAACAATCGGGGCAAACCGGGATTCGAACCCCAAATCATCGGTTTTTGATGTGTCTAAGGGATGCAACTCTGCACAGCAAATTGTGCACAGGTATGTGCTGACAAAACGTAGAAACAATCGGGCCAAACTGGGATTTATAGGTTTCTGGCATGCCTAAGGGACACAATTATGTACAGGGAATAATGGTGCCTTAAATGACTGGGCCAGTTGGGCCCTCTACAGTTGTAGTGATGTTTCAGTGTAGACTCTGATTTCATTATCACTGGCTCAAGGTCATAAAGAACTTGATCTATCATACAATTTTATCGTTAGTAACTTCAAGTGGATTATCTTGAACAATGATTAGAGCTGTCTTGATTATGATTAACATATTCTTTATTGAAAAAATGTGACATCATCCTAAATTGATACCATATGTAACATCAAGGTACGTTACTCTTTAACATCTTTAAATACTGGCCATTGCAATTTCACATTCTCCTAAAGAAATATTTACAAAACCATAGAGAAGCTAACTTACCCTTTAGACTTCTTTGGTTGTTGAAAACAAGATCACAGTATTTGCAGGTGAAGATGCTCTTGACCTTGAGGTCCAGGTCACCTTGACCTTCCTCCCAGAGTGGAGGTGTTGTCACAGGGCTCGCAGCAATGAAGGGGGACTCAGACTGCTTCATCTGACCAAGGGGTGGGGTGAGTGATCTCAGTGGGGTGGGGCTGTGACTTTGTGGCTGTTGGGGGACGGCAAGAATTGACTGACCAAGCTGTTGGGGGAGCAAACAGGGGTTCACCTGAGAGAAAATGAACCTGTCTGGAACAAACATGGCTTGTGGGTAGATGCGTTGCAGATCCTCGACTTCTTTAGATAGTTTGCTTTTGGTATCACAAGACAACTGAGATTTAGCCATGGCGGATGGTACAAAAGCATGACCCAGTCTTGGGAAATATTCATTGTTTTCTCTTTTTTCAATTTTTGCAATTTTCTTGGCATGAGATTCTTTGCCCCTTACAAGCTGCCTTGGAGCCAGGCTGAATTGTGCCAGAAAGTCTTGCTGAGAGACAGAGTGAGGGTCGACAGCGTGACTGTCGTCCAGACCCCGCTGTGATATGTGTTTTACCATATGTGTCTGCATGATGTCCTGCTCCACGAACTCACAGTCACAGAACGGGCACGAGGTCAACTGTTTCCCAGTGTGGACAGGAGTATGCATCAGGAGAGCAGCCTTACAAGGGAAAGCCTTCTTGCACACGGTGCAGTCGAACCGATGGTATTTGCTACTGGGCTGACGTGTACAGTGCTCACACCATGCTTTGGCTATCAGGGGAAACTTGTTGCTTGTAAAGTCAACAAAGTCCAGATCATAAAACCCAACAGAGATTCCAGCCTCATTTGTGTCTTGACTGGGTGTGGAGCACGTGCTGGGTTCGTCCTTGACCTTGACCCCATTTGGGTCAAGCATCTTGTGACAGATTAGTGTCCGAGTGTTTGGCAGGGAAGGCATGACTGGGAAGGCCGACTTATCTTCTTCCTTGGTGCATGGCTTGCCAGACTGGGCCTGCAAACATCATCATCATCATCATCATCATCATCATCATCAAGAAATATATCTAGAACTTACTTCGACACAAAAGAATCTTTCATATTTTATGCTATATATATTGAAAATCAAGGTTTCCATCTCATCAAAATACTTTCCTTGAAGTTTCCTGAATCAAAACAGCATCATGACATGAAAGGAAAATATAAACACACGTCTTGTATTACAATGAAGAATATGAGTGCAGGAGCATTGGGCAGCAGAATACTATTGTCTGCACAACTCATTAGTGATAATTGACAGTGGAGAGGACTTCTGTGCACGTGATGACAGCCAAAATACAGAATTGATGGCAATGATGTTATATAGGTAGGATATTCACAATAATTATTATTTTTTTACTTACATCATTTTGTATTACAATAAACTCAATGACACTGAGTAGCACAACAATAAAAGCTTCACATGAACGTTTAAATCGGGAACGTCAGCTTCAGTGCAACACTACCACTTACAGGCATCTGACTGATGGTGTTTCCTATATTCTGCTGCTGCTGTTGCTGCTGCTGCTGCTGCTGTTGTTGCTGCTGCTGCTGCACTGTAGGGAGGGTTGTCATTGACAGGGACGGAAGAGGGTGCAGAGCAACACCAGGAACCATGGGCATCTTCAGGGGCAGCTGATGATCCCACTGGGGCTCTTCAGAGGGTCGCTTGCTGCCACCAAATGTTGGCATGTCAATGGGTGCCATGGAATGAAATGCAAACTGAGCTGGCGGTCGTTCAAGGAATCTGGAGGCAGCTTCAGGTGTACTGAGATCGAGGTCTTGCATAGAAGGGTGCATAGCTGTTTTAGGGCGCCATCCTCCCTTGCCACGGCGAGAACCAGACTTGACGCCATGCAACATCCCGTGCTCGGCTTCCTTGCTGTGGATGCGCATGTGTCGGTGCATGTTGCCGTTGGTTGTGAAGGACATTTTACATACTCGGCAAGAGAATGGACGTTCACCTGAAAGGGATAACTATATTTTAATACATCATTATTGTGTAATTACAGAAAATTATCCCAGAAACATCAGACCGAAAAATCGCGGGTTTCCAACCTGACAACCTATGACCACCAATCCAACTTAAATACAATATATTTGGTATGGTATAAATAAGTATCTTTGGTTTTAAACCTAACCATAATATCATTTATTAGCAAATGAGACAAGCCGGTGCCCTATTCCTGCAAACAATCATTGCGCCAAGGTGGCCTGGTATCATCAGCATTTGATTGTGAATCATAAACACATGCTCATGATAACGTCGGAATCATACAATGGACTCCTACTTCTCATATTTATGGGAATGGTCTTGTTGCTCTTTACCTGAGGACAGGTGAAGATCCGTGGGTAGCATTGGTCTTTAGCAACCCATTCTTGCCGTAACTATGCTTGTCGTAAGAGGTGACTAACGGGATCAGGTGGTCAGACTCGCTGACTTGTTTGATGCATGTTAACATATGATGTTTTCATAATGTCAATCACTGGATTGTCTGGTCCAGACTCGATTATTTACAGACCGCCGTCACATAGCTGGAATATTGCTGAGTGCAGCGTTAAACAACAAAGAAACAAAGAAAAATCGTTACCTGAGTGGACCAACATGTGCCTGTCCAGGGAGCTCTGTGAGCTGAGGATCTTGCCACAGATGGTGCAGCTGTTGGCGGAGTTGGAACTGATGGCGGTGGAGTTGTGTTGGCGGATGTGGACGGTGAGATCATGTAGTGTGCTCATCTCATCCTTGCACACTGGGCACACGAACTTGGCAAGGCCATCTTTACCTGCTACAGGGAGAATCTGGGAGGAGAGAGAGAGTGAGTGAGTGAGTTTGGTCTAATACTATCACTGTGTGTCAGAGGGATGTGGGAAGAATACACAAGTCCAGATGTTAGATGCTTAGCATATTGGTTAAACCTGTAAGCAATGTGATGGTGCTGACAAACCTAGAACCAAAATCAGGAAGAATCTGTGATTCGAAGCCATATTTATAGGTTCCTGACATGCCTAAGGGAAGCAACTCTAGACAGCAAATTAGACGCCTTTAGCTATGGGCTACCACTGAGTGTCCTCTGGGAACAGAAACTTCAGTTGTCAGAACAATATCATAGCGGGGGATATAAACATCTGTTGTCATTGATATGAATCATAAAACCCTGGAAACAATGCATACAATTATAAATTTTCAGAGACTAAGCATTAGGCTACACACAGTGTCAATCACAAATGGTTATTTCTGGTATGGCAGTGATCAAGATATAGACTGATTAATTAATTAAATAATTTCCTGGCATCATAGAGTCTGCACAATATTTAGATTTACAAAGACACTAAAAACTTAGGCTAAATGAATGAATATCATGATCAAAAACTAAAACTGACTTTTCAAAAACCATATCTTGTACTGACAAATCAGCAAATCATAGAACATTTTTTGCATGTGACACACAAGATTGGATCAGACAACAATGCTGACCTTCTGCTCTTCGCTGATCTTTGCCCCCCTCTTAATAGGCCGGGAGGATGACGGGAACGCAGGGTAGTTTTGGCTGGAGGAATATAAGCTGGACGGATTGCTTGGGGACGGAGGGCGTGACGACCCTGCCTCACTCGGAGGGCCGCTGTGTGACTCGGGTTGGTTAATACTGGTCGGTGGAACCTGTGAACTGGAGCGATCTGACAGGGACAGCTCGGTCGCAATCTCCTCATCTTGGAAGTCTGTGTTGATTGTCAGAGGGTTCTCTTCGTCATCATCTTGAAAGTCAGTGTTGATTGTCAAAGGATTCTCCCTGTCATCATCTTGAAAGTCAGTGTTGATTGTCAAAGGGTTCTCCTCGTCGTACATTGAACTCTGAAAGAAGGAGGACGGTCATTGTCAAGACTTCAACGGACAAAGTTAAGAAAATGAAATCATTTGGTTTAAGGCAATAACACTGATGAGAGTTGGTTAATGAACCTTTTGTTCAGGGAGAGGAGCCTGGCTATTTCAGTTATGGTCACAAACATATGTCAAAGCAGAAACAAAATGAGGACTATTTTTTCAGTACTACCCGGTATGTTTCCGTTGTTCTTGACCACCATCATTTCCTGTCGATATCCAGCACAAGGTCAACTATCACAAAGCTAGTCCTAGCTGTCAAAGCTAGTTGATTGCATAATGTTTGCTTGTTAATGTTTTAGAAACCACACTCAGCAATATTCCAGCTATGTGAATAAGTGCCTGTGAGTAATCGAGCCTGGAATAGACAATCCATTGATTGATATTGTGAGAAACGATCCATAGTTGTTAACCATTACAGTAGCATTGTGAAATTTAGCCCTTGATTATCATACTAATCAATGTAATAGAAATGAATAAAGTATTGCTGACAATGTTAAAGTTGGCTAATTTACTCTGGCCTGTCGCTACTCAAACCAAAGGGAAGTAACTCTGATCTGAAGTTGTCGTAATCCTTGCTAATCAACACACGGCAGGGTTGAAATTCAACTGAGTCTTCTGACACATAATTTATTATTTATTTTGTAACTAATTGCAACTATTGTAACTATCAATGTTATGCATACTATCGACAATACCATTGGTGTGTTTACATTAGTATTAATATAATACAATCATTGGGCCAACAACTGCAACACATCGATAGTGCAGTAAATCCTTACACTCCTGGTCCTGAGTATATGACATTGTAGCAGCTCTGCCCTAATGTTAAATGTTTTATGGGTCCCATCAGCTGACACTACAACAGTTCCTTGTTGTTGTCCGTGCTACAGGTAGGTTCCTTGGGTTGAAGAAGTTGTAGGTTAACAGGAGGAAATCATTGACAGTGGAATAACAACATTTCTTTGTCTCGATGCAATAATTATTATTTCCTCATCTTGAAAAATTCAATATTCAATATATCACATCCTTTGTAAGAATTGATTGTTAACAAAGGGTTAAGAACAAGTGTTTATGTACATAAACTGTCAAGTACCACAAAGTCAAGTACACGGACAAAAATTTAAACTCGGAAGTTGAGTATATGATATATGATTTTACAAGACAATTATTTCCTTGGGGGAATACCTGATCATTGTGGAGTTCTTCAGTTGCCATGACGACTGGATCAACAGACTCTTCCTCTTCGTTTTGGCCAACCCCATTAGCACACACTGAAATGAAAGCCCACTGCATATAGACAACCATATACAACTGCCCCTATACTACTGCACATATACAAACATATACTGTTGCATATACAACCGTATACCACTACACGTACAATGGTTTACCACTGCACATATACAACTGAATACCACTGCTCAAATACAACCGTATACCACTGCATTTACAACCATATACACCTACATATACAACCGCATACCACTGCACATATATAACCGTATACCACAGCTCATATACAACCGTATACCACTGCATATACAACCGCATACCACTGCTCATATATAACCGTATACCACTGCATATACAACTGCATATACAACCATATACACCTACATATACAAACATATACCACTGCATATATAACCGTATACCACTGCATATACAACCGTATACCACTGCATATACAACCATATACACCTACATATACAACCGCATACCACTGCACATATACAACCGTATACCACTGCACATATACAACCGTATACCACTGCATATACAACCGTATACCACTGCTCATATACAACCGTATACCACTGCATATACAATCATATACACGTACATATACAAACGTATACCACTGCATATACAACCGTATACCACTGCTCATATACAACCGTATACCACTGCTCATATACAACCGTATACCACTGCTCATATACAACCGTATACCACTGCATATACAACCATATACCACTGCATATACAACCGTATACCACTGCTCATATACAACCGCATACCACTGCAAATACAACCGTATACCACTGCATATACAACCGTATACCACTGCATATACAACCGTATACCACTGCTCATATACAACCGTATACCACTGCATATACAATCATATACACGTACATATACAACCGTATACCACTGCATATACAACCGTATACCACAGCTCATATACAACCGTATACCACTGCTCATATACAACCGTATACCACTGCATATACAACCGTATACCACTGCTCATATACAACCGTATACCACTGCATATACAACCGTATACCACTGCTCATATACAACCGTATACCACTGCATATACAATCATATACACATACATATACAACCGTATACCATTGCATATACAATCATATACACGTACATATACAACCGTATACCACTGCATCCATACAACCATGAATTACTTGATATATTCATTTATGGACGATTGCAGTGAATACAAAATGTATATTCTCACATGCATAGATGAGCAAAAAGTAATGTATGATGGTAGTAGAATCTTGTTATTTTGTTAATTAGCATCAACATAGACCCCATGACAGCGACCCCTCCATTTACACCAGTCATGGTTTGGATGTACAACCAGCCTGTAAAACAGCCTCTTATCCTGACAACATGGACAACAAAGAAACAGTCCAGATGATATACTAATTGACTGACTTAGAATCAGCCTTCTTTCAAGTAGATCCCTTCCTCGTAATCTGTGGATGGGCATCCATCATAACTCTACATTCATCTCCATCAAGTATCAGGGTTAGTCGTGAGACTCTCCATCACCAGCTACCTGCTGCCATCCATCACTCACATCCGATAAGCCTGTATCTGACAGCTGGTATGATACATCTAATAATGACATCCCACATTCATTATTGCCCTTCTCAACCCGTTAAGACCTGTGGGTCTTCAGCAACCCATTCTTGTTGTAGGAGGCGACAACCTGGACCAGGTGATCATGCTTGCTGACTTGGTTGATGCATGTCATTGTATCCCAACTGCGTAGATCAATGCACATGAAGTCAATCACTGGATTGTCTGGTTCAAACTCAATTATTCACATACCGCCATCACATAGCTGGAGTGCAGCGTTAACAACAAACAAAGAAACAAACAAATTGCCCTACTCAAGATACAGCTCACATGCAGGGTTTTAAGGGACAGACAAATATGAGCCAAGTATGCTCAAATGTAGAAAATGGATGCAGAAAAAAAATAACGCATCCAGAGGGACGCACAATAATATTTGTCATACCCACAATGCATCAAGAGCAGTCACATATGTCTGTTGACCCGTGAAGATCCGGGGTAGAATATGTCTTCAGCAACCCATACTTGGCGTAAAAGGCGACTATGCTTGTCGTAAAAGGCGACTAACGGGATCGGGTGGTCAGGCTCCCCGACTTGGTTGATACATGTCAGCGATCCCAATTGCATGGATCAATGCTCATGATGTCAACCACTGGATTGTCTGGTCCAGACTCGATTATTTTACAGACCGCCGTCATATAGCTGGAATGTTGCTGAGTGCGGCGTTAAACAACAAACCAACCAACCAACAGATGTCTGTTCTTTCATCCATCAATCATGACCATTGATTCATTCCAGGCTCTCAAGTACTTATTTAAACATACAGAACACTACACCATTTCATTACTCTACAGGACCCTCATACTGCCTGCAAGGACCCTTAAAATTAATCACTGAGTGTCCCTTGGACCCCAACTTTTGTATGTCAAGGTAAAACCCTGTCACATGCATCCAAAATAACAGTAAAATATTGACAGCGAAACCCTGTTAGTCTGATCCCTGAAACTCTGGAAGCCTTGGCTGTTTTAAACATCTATACATAGTCAAGGAACAGCTGGAATATGATCCATTTATATGGAAATGTGTCAATCTGGATGGTTCAATTGGGAATACCATGCAAATTAACATGGTTTCAGTGTATTAAGATAACTAGCCATGAAGGCTTGTCACGCTGTCAAAATGCATCCTCGAAACTAGTCACTTGTCCTGTCACCTATGCTGTGCTACATATGATCTGGATGTTGAAACATAACACGTATCATTTCCTATGTCAATATTGTCATATCGCCCTCCACAGAGACATCCTCCTCATCTCACAGGCCTCGTCCCAGCACCCAGCAGTCCCATCACTCAAGGATCATATTTTCCTTCAAACCGCTTCCCTTTTGATGAATCATCGTATACAAAGCTACATAAAAACCGTGTCTGGTGAACTGCGAGATGACACCAGGAGACTAATCGCTGATGATCAAACGGTACAGAGACAAAAAGCTCCGTCAGCGATGTTGTGATTGATGCATCAGTGACAGCAGTCAGGACAGAGGAAGGGTTCGCACCCCGGGCAAAAACATCAGCTCTAGGAGCCTGAGAGGGAGACAGAGAGGAAGACATACAACATGATGGATAGAGGGACTCATTTCTAGTGGTGTTTCTCAATGTCATAAAAGGCCTACCATACTTATTCATCCTTAAAGGGCGGTCGGGTAGCCTAGTGGTAAAAGCGTTTGCTCATCACGCCGAAAACCCAGGTTTGATTCCCAACATGGGTACAATGTGTGAAACCCATTTCTGGTGTCCCCTGCCGTGATATTGCAGGAATATTGCTAAAAGCAGCGTAAAACCAAACTCACTCACTAACTATTCATCCTTTAACTGCCAGGCTGCTACAGGTGGATTCATCATCTCAACAGATATAACACAATAAACACTCTTGTCCATATCTAATGAACAATTCCAAGCAATCAGCCTTCAATCAATGATGGTATCTTGAAACAATCACAACCGATTTGATTTCATTTATTGACCTTATCTCAAAACAAGGCAATCCCAACCAATTTGACTTCATTCAGAGGCTATTTCAAAACAACCCAAATAATTGGACCGCGTGAAGGGATGGGTACACAAGTGTAACAGCCAGATAGTGACAATGTAATGGCTGTTTTATTCTTTATCCTATGTGCTGACAACTACTTCAACATGTCCAATACACAAACGATGATTCAGGTTGTATTCCGCTTAAACCAGATCTGTAGCAATGCTCAGGAACTCTTGCACTAGGACAGGCTTTAACAGATTAGAATGGTGCAGATGTCTTGTATCAATAAGGGGTGGTGGGGAAGCCTCCTGGTTGAAGTGTTGGCTCATCACGCCAAAGACTCGGGTTCGATTCCCCACATTAATACAATGTGTGAAGTCCATTTTCTGGTGTCCTCTGCCGTGATATTGCTGGAATATTGCTTAAAGCGGTGTAAAACCAGACTCACTCACTCACTCTTGTATCAAACAACCCAATTGATGGGTGTCACCATGACTGTGAAAGTCAAGAGAAGATCTTGCATACTTACTTGATATGACGTAAGCCCTCATGTCATCATCTAGCGATCGCATTTAGTAATTACACAGAGATGCTGAGCTATGGTCAACACGTCAGACTGTTCATCTATCCCGTGATACAAGACAAGATGAAACAAGCACCTGTTGAGGCTCGAGAAGTGTTGCCAGAGAAGCACTCATCCATGTAATGATGTAGACATCAGCATGTCATAGCAGGATTTGCATGTGTCAGGGGGTGTGGAGGGCTGCCAAACAGTGGCCTGTGACAAGTTGTCAATATGTAGCGTGATACTTCTGTTGTGATACAATGGACAACAAGTCATCATGATCATATATATATATATATATATTTGTACACACTGGTATCAACAACAGTAGGATATATATATCAAACTGTGGTTTTAAGAGATTTAACATAAAAATATTGCATTTTCTGCAACTGTTGAATTATCGAATGCCCTATTTCCTGATACGACTACAGGTCTCCCACAAAAACCAATGAAGATCAGGCTGCTGTGCTTTCTAAACAGTCTCCAAAGTCTGTGCCACCAGTATCACGCTCTCACTATCAGTACATACACTGAATTCCGGAAGCTTGGACACCCATGTTTCAGGGATACCCTAGACCAACTCTTAGCCTCTGAAAATATATACTTTGGATTTAAACAAGCACATGCAATTAAATTGAAAAGGAGCCCCTGAACCTGTGGAAAATCTAGACTTGCTTCTATGACAGGCTCTGTGATGCTAGGAAATGTATTCATTCATTCATTCATTCATTCATTCATTCATTCATTCATTCATTCATTCATTCATTCATTCATTCATTCATTCATTCATTCATTCATTCATTCATTCATTCATTCATTCATTCATTCATATCTTGATCACTGTCATACCAGAAATTGACATTGTATTTCTAGACTTATGTAGCTGCCCCGAGAGTGGAAGGTCTGTGGCTCGATCTTCTGCCGTGACAAAACAAAAGACGGTTAAAAGATGGTACTTGGCATTAAGGGAATAAAACAAGAACAAGATACTGTGTCTGAGGATATCAGTATTTAAACTGTGTCATGGTATTTCAGTGAACTAGCACTATAGAACCTGCATTACTCCACATGCATCTCCACACACACATACACATCAATGGATGTTGCTATATAAATGCTTTAATCTTGAACCCCATTTCACTCCTCACATAGTCAACCAATGCGTTTTCAATTTCAAGCTAGTTTATATCAGTCATATATCACCAGTACGTCAACAACCATTATACAACATTCCTCATCAGTGATATGTTGACAGAGTGACAGGAAGAAAATTATGTTTTCTCATGAAGTGAAATAACAATCTGATGGTGTTTATACTCTCATATTGACAATAGAAGCTATCAAATTCATTATTGACAACTCATTTATGACTGCCTACAGTCAGTGGCAGTAGTGAAATCCTGTACATAAGCTTCCTGTTGTTCCCAGTGACCCCCGAGTCTACTCTACACAAGCACATCTATAGTGATATGGTGTAGGAAACCTCACCAGAGAAAGCATTCTCCAGGAAATACTATCACCATACAGTTGCTAGGGGAGTGAGTCAGAGCTTGTCGCAAGGACTGTGCAATGTATACAACTGTATACAATGTATAGTATTGCTTACTATTTCCCTTGTAACACACACGTTTGAGGAGGATATATACAGACATATAACCTTTAGTCACAGGAGGATACGCAGATAGTGATTAGTATTCAAAGGTGCTGACTCATTAATATTCATGAGTTTCCTGAACATCAGCCTGACTTTCCAGTAATCCAAAGCTTTCTCCCGACTATGTGTGATGTTACGTAATCATCTCCAAAGTTATTTACTTAGCTAAACATCCAGGTTTTTTCTGAGTGATTGAGTGAGTTAATATGGTTCTATGCTGTGAGTTAATATTCCTGCAATGTCATTGTGGGAAACACCAAATAAGGCTTCACACATTTTACACATGTGGGGGATCTGAACCTGGGTGTTATGGGTTACGATTTAATATCAGATAAATCAAGAGGAAACTAAAATTATCTATTACCCTACCAATGTGAAATGTTTCAGAAACTAAAATCCGACCTTGGGACAGGATTACCTATTTATACAGTAATTGACTTTTGCCTATGTATTGATTAGTTAGCAGGTAGGTCAACATGTTAACTGATGGCAGGGCTTGAAAAGATTCTTAATCCCAACTTATCCTGCAGGGCAAGTAGATATTATTTTGTATACTCTGCAATATTTTCACTTGTCCTATTAAATCATTTTATGTTCTTGGTTAGTTATTCTCCTTTCCTGTTATTAATCTTTGAGTTAAGGGTATTTACGATTAGCAGTACAAAATAATTCACAATCACTGCCACCCACATTCATCTCCGCCGATTCAAAGTATTTCGGCCATGAACATTTAGTTTTCGTTGTTTACAGTCATACTGAGTTTTTTAAAAATATATTCATTTTTTGGGCCTGTTTGGTAATGAAATCATGTTTTTTCCAGCCAACCCCTCTATTCCCAATTGAAAACAGCCATAACCCTCACAAAATCATTCACTTTAGATTTGACATTTGAGAATCAGTAACTCATCGCTTACAACAAAAATAAATATAATTGCGCCCCTGTAATTAATAGTTTCGAAACCTGCAGCACAAACCCACCTTTTGTTTATTTCTTTAGCGGACAGTTGCCAAGTATGCCTTCTATTTATGATATAAGTGACACATAATTCGTTATTATCACTATGAATGTACGAGAAATAAAAACATACTTTCGGTTCAAAATTATCCTGCATATTTGATTGAAAACAGTTAGATGAATTGATACGATTGAAATAAAAATATCGCCCAGTAGGACGACTGTTGCTTTACATCTTCCTCGCCCTGCACATACTGCCACTCGTCAATACGATCCCCAAACCCATCCCACCGCCAACCCCTAATATATAGCGACCTATATGGCAGATGAAAGAGGATTATGATCTTTCAACCCTAAAGTGTGTAACCATTTGTTAGTCATCACACTCACCCTCCAGAGGGCGCTCTGAGGGATTTGCTAATTGTTGAACTAATGCCTAAGGCAAAATATTTATCAATCCAATCCAATTTTTTCCTTATCATTACTAATTAAATTTATTGAAATACTGCAAATAACTGTTTTTATTACTTTGTGTATTATTTTTATTTGCAATTATTGATTGCTTCTCTTTGCTGATTTGCAAAAAAGTAATACCTTCTGAGCCTTGTGCGTATCTTAATATCTTTTATGAAAATGATGGTTTAAAGGAGGGCACTTGCTACATCCACTACGGTAGGTACACCTGCCATCTGGACAATAAATCAATCGGCATCATAACAATATAAACATAACTCAGTACACAGGACCCTCTCGAGCATCCAGGCCAGTGCACATATAGTTTCAACACGCCCTTGAGGGGGGCCATAAACATGATAAAAGTCAGCACGTACATCCCTCCATCCCCAAGTCAAACACTTGAGCCCCCAGTCAGAACAAAGGTAGTGGGTGTGGCAGGCAGTCACAATGCTCACTAGCCTTGTGCCAGGCATTGCAGTGATGCACGATGTCAGATATTTCATCCACGCTCCCATATCCAGGCAGAGAAAGATTCTATTGTGTAAATAGGGCCTTTCAATGACACTTTTTAAAAATGAACCACTTCACAAATGTTAAGTTGTTTAGGCAATTTAAAAAAAATAATTTTAATCAATTTTCATTAAAAAAAAGCATATAAGTATTAGTTGGTATCAAGTCAACAAGTCAATCATGATCAAAGTGTTTGCCACACTGGATGCAGAAAGAACCTGCTGTAACCAATCATATTGACTTGAGTCGTGGTGGGTGAGATGGGTGTGGTGGTTGTTGGTATTAAAGTGGAGGGGTGGTGATTGGTGGGGTGGGGTGGGGTGGGGGTGGGGGAGAGAGGAGGGGGGGTGGGGGGGGGGGAGAGGAGGGGGGGAGGGATCAATATTGGGGTAGGAGATTTGTCCTGTTGCCTGTGAGAGTAATTTCAGGATGTAGTACATTCCTTATTGTCAAGTGTCGTTACGTGTGGCTAAACACAACATCCATTAGGTCCGCATCACCTAAAGGTAAACATGTAGCCAGACAGACCTGGTGTATCACCACTTGAATATCGCCTCCAACAAGAACTGCGGCTGACAGCTTGAAGTATACAGGATGTATAGGGGTGTTATCAGGAGGGGCTGGAATGTGGGGTGGGGGTGGGGGTGTGGGGGGGGTAAAAGTGTTGAATCATGATGGAGATAGGGAGGTGAAACAAGAGATGCCTGTTGAATGCAAGAGTCTGTTGTAGCTGCAGACCTTGGTGGATGTTGAACAGTTACTGTGACAAGCATACACAGCCTCTACTCTTGAAACAACAAGACATCGACAGACATGGTACAAATGCACTTGGAGGGGGTGGGGAGATGGGAGGGGACTCAGGTGGAAAGACGGGGTTGGGTAGGAAGGTGGGGTAGGAAGGTGGGGTAGGGGATGGGGTTGTGAGGGGAACAGGGTGGAAGATGGGAGAGGACTGGGGGTTGAGAAGGGGTAGGGAGTGGGTAGAAAGGGGGACTAGGGGGGATGAAGTTGGGAAGATAGGGTAGGGGATGGGTAGGGAGGATTGGGTCGGGTGGGGTAGGTCGGGAGGGGAGTAGGGTGGGGATGAGGACGGGAAGATGGGGTTGGGTGGGGTAGGTCGGGATGTGAGTAGGGTGGGGATAAGGGTGGAAGATAGGTTGGGGTGGGGTAGGTCGGGATGGGAGTAGGGTGGGGATGAGGGTGGGAAGATGGGGTTGGGTGGGGATGAGGGTGGAAGATGGGGTTGGGTGGGGTAGGTAGGGATGGGAGTAGGGTGGGGATGAGGGTGGGAAGATGGGGTTGGGTGGGGATGAGGGTGGAAGATGGGGTTGGGTGGGGTAGGTAGGGATGGGAGTAGGGTGGGGATGAGGGTGGGAAGATGGGGTTGGGTGGGGATGAGGGTGGAAGATGGGGTTGGGTGGGGTAGGTAGGGATGGGAGTAGGGTGGGGATGAGGGTGGGAAGATGGGGTTGGGTGGGGATGAGGGTGGAAGATGGGGTTGGGTGGGGTAGGTTGGGATGGGAGTAGGGTGGGGATGAGAGTGGGAAGATCTGGTTGGGTGGGGATGAGGGTGGAAGATGGGGTTGGGTGGGGTAGGTTGGTAGGGGAGAAGGGTGGGGATGAGAGGGGGAAGATAGGGTTGGGAGAGGGCAGGATCGAAGGGGAGTAGGGATTGGGTGGGGGCAGAACAGTAGGGAGATTGGACAAGGAAGAAGGACAACACCTGTAGACAAACATAACCCTGGATGCGGGCCACCCCATCCCCGAGCTGAGTGGCACCCTGATATGGTCGACACCCTACCTGCATATCTCCATCTCAACTGCGGACTCCTCTTGACAGGGACATGCATCTGTATCTGTGGCGTACCTAGCTTCATGCTGCTAGGTTTCCGTCACTACACAGACAGGAGGCTGCAGCGATCACTTACGGATGAAGTCAAGGGGAGCAGGTCACATCACTGTGTCAAGCTTGTCATGTGTCTCCCATGAGAGATAGTATGTTGCAACATTCACTGTCACTGTTAATCTAGTATTGCTGTATTTGAAATTGATTCAATTCCCCAGCAACACAGCAACTGCAGAGACACGCATACAATCTTCTCTCTATGAAGTGCTTTGAGCCAAATGTGCGGGATGACAAGTCAAAAAGACCCGGACTTTTACAGCAAGGATGTAGACACCAGTGACCTCACCTTGACTGCACCCTTTTCACAATAGTCATAGAAACAGCCCTTCAAATTCCTCACAATATTTATAAAGCTGCTCAGAAACAAGAATACAATGCCACGCTCTGCAGCTTCAATGCACAGTATGGCCCATTGAACTGCATCTCTGATTCAACGATGGATTTAGTCCGACTGAATGTTTCAAACGACTGCGTGAGAATTAAGTTTCCGTAACTGATGTGACGAGAGTGTAATCCAACATCTTCCCTTTGAAAAAAGTCAGGTTGTGAAATGACATTCCCACCTTTGTTGGTCAAACAGAGTTAGTGTATCATACATACCCCATAACATGTCTGTTCATCTAACCGTCTACAATGTGATGATGTCCATGGTCCCTCCGTACTTTACATATATTTTCACTTTTTTTTGTTATCTACGTTTCACTTGATCAACACCAGTGTATATATAAAATGGACGTCCACCTCATCAACTCATCCACAAATCCAAGTTTGAATCGTGTCAACCGAGTTCACTCCGTTTCTACAACCTGTACACAGTACAGTATACAATATATACAGTAAGATGCACGATATCCTGATCACACCTGTCAGTACATATGTCCAGTTTCTCAATATCAATCTTCCTTCAACTATATCTGCACCAAACCACAGTCCTTTCCTCGTTTCAATGCAAGTATCCAGTTTCTCAATGTCAATCTTCCATCAACTATGTCTATGCCAAGCCACAGTCCTCTGCTCGTTTTAGTGCAAGTGTCCAATTTCTCAACTGTGTCTATGGTGAAGTACAGTCCTCTCCTCATCCTCGTCCGGTAAACACGTCCAGTCTGTCCACCGTCTGACCCTCTGTCCTTTCCTCTGAGGATCCACACCGTCTGTGTCACCACCTACTCTGCCCCGAGCAATCTACACTTCTCCTCTCATCACTCGCGACATCCTCACGCATCAGACGCCTTCTGGCAGCTCCAGGCTGAAGGCAGTCATCATAAAGCGTTATCAGCGTGACAGCTGCAGAAGCAGCAGATACATATCCATGTCTCCAGCGACTTCCTTCACCAAGCAGAATCTGCCCCAGGGTGTCCTGTCGTGATGTGTGCGCTCCCCCCCGGCCCTAACAGCCTTGGCTCCATCATCCTAATTCATCATCTCCCCTCCTCATGCACCAGCGACAACTTGGGCCGCTGCGTCTAGATTATCGCCTGGTCTCTCTGTACAGGCACTTCCTGTCCCTGACACATGGTTCATACCCTCAGCATCGTAAACCCTACATCACCGTAACATACATCGCTGTCTGCAACACCAAACTGTCTGTTGCGTGTTTTGCCATGTTTGGCTTGAAACTTCCGTCAGGAGATGCATGCATCATAATTCTAAATGCACATACCACAGTAAAACACATCCTCCTGCATGAGCTCATCTCAATCTGCTGCTCACCTGGGCATCGCCACCAAGACAATGAATGTGTCACAAACAATAAAATTCCCATTGTCGTCTTCAACTGATATATAATTGCTTTTTCCTGTGTAAAATGTATTAAAACAAACCAGTAATTTATTAGGGGCAAGGAAGGGGGGAGGGGGGAGGGCGAGGGGGGAGGGGGCAGGTAGTCAAGAGTTTTTGATGCACTTACGTACTGAAAATAATACATGATGACCTTCTCCTCCCCGTGACATTGTTCAATTTTTTCAATAGCCTTCCTTTTCTAAAAAGACAAAATGCAAAAGCACTTCTTTTTTTATCATAAAATGTCCATTTTCACATGACCCTCTCCTAATATGGGTATTATATTTTTATGACCATGCCCTAAAGACTGTCAAAAATTCGGGGCGACCCTCTGACTCCACTCCCCATAACAAATAATCAGTCCCTTAGAAGAAGTTTTTTTTAAGACTACTTCATCCATTCACGAATACTTCATCTGACTATTTTCCTTCTCAGTTTTTCAGGAATTTATACTTTCTAAAGTTTTTGTTTTTTTCTATATGCAAGAATAGTATAGTCTCTTCATGGTGGTGTAATTGGTAGTTGTGTAGAGGCAGCCCAGATTACAAATACTGTTGTATACTGATCATGCTGGTAATGTAGTTGTGCGATGAGTTTGGTAGCATACATTAATAAATTGTATCTATTATTGTATCAGACCCGTGAAGATCCGGGGTAGAATAGGTCTTCAGCAACCCATGCTTGCCGTAAAAGGCGACTATGCTTGTCGTAAAAGGCGACTAACGGGGTCGGATGGTCAGGCTCCCCGACTTGGTTGATGCATGTCATCGATCCCAGTTGCGTGGATCGATGCTCATGATGTCAATCACTGGATTGTCTGGTCCAGACTCGATTACTTATACAGACCGCCGTCATATAGCTGGAATATTGCTGAGTGCGGCGTTAAACAACAAACCAACCAAACCAATATTATTGCATCAGTTATTCAAGCTCTTTCCTTCAGACAGCATGGATAGAGACCGACACAATCTGAAGATGTACTGATTCTCCCTGTTGGATAACGAATACATAAAACAAACACTGAAACACATTATCAAGTCAGACCTGTGACGATCCAAGTTGGAGTTGATATTCAGCAACCCATGATTGTTGTAAGAGGCAACTAACAGGATCAGGTAGTCAGCCTCGCTGACTTGAGTCATGCATGTCATCATATCCTAATAGTATAGATCGATGCTCAACTTGTCAATCACTGGATTATCTGGTCCAGACTGGATTATTTACAGCTCATATAGCTGGAATAGCATCAAGCAATTATCCAACAAACCAGCAAAACAAGAACTTATGAGGGTTCAATGCCATGCTTCAGAAAGACTGAGACATGAAGATCTGGGGTAGAATAGCTCTTCAGCAACCCATGCTTGCCGTAAAAGACGACTATGCTTGTCGTAAGAGGAGACCAATGGGATTGGGTGGTCAGGCTCACTGACTTGGCTGATGCATGTCATCATATCCAATTGCGTAGATCAGTGCTCATGATGTCAATCACTGGATTGTCTGGTCCAGACTCGACTTATTTACAGACTGCATTCACATAGCTGGAATAATGCTGAGCGCGGCATTAAACAACAAACAAATAAATAAACAAACCACTCCCTATGAAATCAGAAAACTGACAACTAGGTTCCAAACTCATTGAGCACCACCGAGAAGCTTCTGATGTTGATCAATACAAAGGTACTATGCTGAGTACACACAGTGACATGAAACACCCTCTAATGTTGTTTACACATAAAACAATACAAACATTGAAGAATCTAATCATAAATCTATTAAATCCATAACTCAATCAAGCCTAATACCAAACCACCTTAAAAACAAATAATCTTCACCTTTCCCCTTCCTTGTAAACTTACTATTTTCATAAATAAACAATGAATACATTCATCATGGAAGACTTAATCAAAACAACAGTTACCGGCATGGATCTATATTTACATTCAATAAGTCCCTTGAATCAAGGAAGTAAAACACTCATTGTCTAATCTTATCTTGATGACCTCCAAGCTTTGATCAGCTGACCGGACTCAATACCCTTGGGTCCTCTCTGGCCAGGATTACCACATTGTTATGATCTGCTGGATGCCTGGGGAACACCATGAGGGGCAATCACTATGTCAACATAAATGAGTGCAAACTATACTACTCAAAAGAAGTTAAGAACACCCAATTTTCCATATTACTGCAGTTTATCAATCATGTCATGACAGTTTAATTATAGTCATATGAATGTGTTTTGAAACTCTTGAGTGGTATATATAAAATACAGGTTTACATAACTTATTTCTATAATTAGAGTTTAGAAATGCATCTCAATCCAATACTTCCTGCCACGCCCATCAAATTTGATGTAGTTTCCTTCTTAGTATTGAGACCAAGTAATCTTATTATCCATTCATGTTTGTTCATTAAGTCAATAATCTTTATCGGGTGTCCCCCGCAGTGATATTGCTGGAATTTTGCTGAAAGCAGCGTGAAACCCAACTCACTCACTCACTCACTAATCTTTCATCACTGAATACATCTGGACCACCTGGGATATCTCCACCTCATTGTTGCCGCACGCAGGCACGCACTCACGCACTATGTAAGTGCAATAATCTTGGACGTTAAACCCCATCTCACCTTACCTCTCCCTCCATCCATCTCCTTTCCCTCGTCTGTACCATGCAACAATCAGTAGAGATACCGGTTGTGAATGATGCTCACATAAGTGACCCCAACTTCCTTGTTGAGTCATCTTTATCAATTTATCATATCTTCATCTTTTTACAGCCAGCCAGTCCCTGGTCAGAACACATTCCTGTAGCCTCTGTTACAGATCCCTGAGTACATATTTCATAAAACAATCACATCCATTCTATTTGCAACCCCTTGTCTGCTCTGCCCCTTACACTAGTCCATACCCATCCCCTTGCCAGCTCTAGCAGTCTATACCCATCCCCTTGCCAGCTCTAGCAGTCTATACTCATCCCCTCTTCAGCTCTAGCAGTCTATACTCATCCCCTTGCCAGCTCTAGCAGTCTATTCTCATCCTCTTGCCACCTCTAGCAGTCTATACTCATCCCCTTGCCAGCTCTAGCAGTCTATACTCATCCCCTTGCCAGCTCTAGCAGTCTATACTCATCCCTTCTTCAGCTCTAGCAGTCTATACTCATCCCCTTGCCAGCTCTAGCAGTCTATTCTCGTCCCCTTGCCAGCTCTAGCAGTCCATTCTCATCCCCTTGCCAGCTCTAGCAGTCTATACTCATCCCCTCTTCAGCTCTAGCAGTCTATACTCATCCCCTCTTCAGCTCAAGCAGTCTATACTCATCCCCTTGCCAGCTCTAGCAGTCTATACTCATCCCCTTGCCAGCTCTAGCAGTCTATACTCATCCCCTTGCCAGCTCTAGCAGTCTATTCCCATCCCCTTGCCAGCTCTAGCAGTCTATTCTCATCCCCTCTTCAGCTCTAGCAGTCTATTCCCATCCCCTTGCCAGCTCTAGCAGTCTATTCTCATCCCCTCTTCAGCTCTAGCAGTCTATTCTCATCCCCTTGCCAGCTCTAGCAGTCTATTCTCATCCCCTCTTCAGCTCTAGCAGTCTATTCTCATCCCCTTGCCAGCTCTAGCAGTCTATACTCATCCCCTTGCCAGCTCTAGCAGTCTATTCTCATCCCCTCTTCAGCTCTTGCAGTCTATACCCATCCCCTCTTCAGCTCTAGCAGTCTATTGTCATCCCCTCTTCAGCTCTAGCCGTCTATACTCATCCCCTCTTCAGCTCTAGCAGTCTATTGTCATCCCCTCTTCAGCTCTAGCCGTCTATACTCATCCCCTTGCCAGCTCTAGCAGTCTATACTCATCCCCTCTTCAGCTCTAGCAGTCTATACTCATCCCCTTGCCAGCTCTAGCAGTCTATACTCATCCCCTCTCCAGCTCTAGCTGTCTATTCTCATCCCCTCTTCAGCTCTAGCAGTCTATTCTCATCCCCTTGCCAGCTCTAGCAGTCTATTCTCATCCCCTCTTCAGCTCTAGCAGCCTATACTCATCCCCTCTTCAGCTCTAGCAGTCTATTCACATCCCCTTGCCAGCTCTAGCAGTCTATACTCATCCCCTTGCCAGCTCTAGCAGTCTATGCTCATCCCCTTGCCAGCTCTAGCAGTCTATACTCATCCCCTCTTCAGCTCTAGCAGTCTATACTCATCCCCTTGCCAGCTCTAGCAGTCTATTCCCATCCCCTTGCCAGCTCTAGCAGTCTATACTCATCCCCTCTTCAGCTCTAGCAGTCTACACTCATCCCCTCTTCAGCTCTAGCTGTCTATACTCATCCCCTTGCCAGCTCTAGCAGTCTATTCTCATCCCCTCTTCAGCTCTAGCAGTCTATACTCATCCCCTTGCCAGCTCTAGCAGTCTATACCGATTCCCCTCTTCAGCTCTAGCAGTCTATTCTCATCCCCTCTTCAGCTCTAGCAGTCTATACTCATCCCCTCTCCAGCTCTAGCAGTCTATACTCATCCCCTTGCCAGCTCTAGCAGTCTATACTCATCCCCTTCTCAGCTCTAGCAGCCTATACTCATCCCCTTGCCAGCTCTAGCAGTCTACTCTCATCCCCTCTTCAGCTCTAGCAGTCTATTCTCATCCCCTCTCCAGCTCTAGCTGTCTATTCTCATCCCCTTGCCAGCTCTAGCAGTCTATTCTCATCCCCTTGCCAGCTCTAGCAGCCTATACTCATCACCTTGCCAGCTCTAGCAGTCTATACTATCCCCTTGCCAGCTCTAGCAGTCTATACT